AAGACAGATTTCACAACAAAGTTATTAAACTATAGGTTCTTGCTCACAAACAGCATTTATGGTAAACTATTTGGCATTTTAAAAATTCTAACACAATATCAAAAATATATATGAATACGTATTTTTCTCCTTCACTGTCGTTGTGAATTTTGTTAACTGTCAGTTGCACAGGGGCAAAAGTCATTATAGGTAACTGTTACCCTGAGATTCGAGCAAGGAGGTTAGTGTCGTGTGGGTACTCAAAAGTAGTTACCGAAAACTAAACAAGGAAAGATTTGAAACAGAAATTTAAAATTTTGGAATTCCTTTAACAAAGATTCAACTTAGTCTTGGCCAATGATGATGATGATGATGATAAAAGGACAAGGAAGAAGAGGAGGAGGAAGAAGAGGAAGCAACATTACTGTGAAATCACCACCATTATTATTCCTATTTTATAGATAATGAAATGGAGGCTTAGTGAAGTCAGATAATTTTTCCAAGTCACAGAAGTGGCCAATTACAGATCCAGGGCTGTAATTAATGTCTGTCTGTTTCTTAAGACTAAGGTCTTCGTTATCCTTCTATCTCTAGTAAAGTAGGGAAGTTGCCAGTTATTTGATAAATACTACATGTATTTATTTTGGGAGAGGGACATGTGAGTTTATAATGCACTTCTAATTATTAATATGTTTTTCAGTTCGAAAACGTTTACATTTTCTAATCCTATATTCTAAGCTATCTGAGTAGGAAAAAAGGCCTGTGGACATTCTTAGTAACACAGGGATTAAATATACCTGTACAAAATTCACAAATTGGTCTGTAAACAAGAAAATAGAATTTATTATATTTATTAACAAGGCAGTAGACACTTTAATCATTTTAAATGGGAAAAAAATAAGTCAATAAACACACATAAGACTAGTACAGAAAGAAATTGAAAAATTAAAGAGGTACCTGCTGTATATGACAAGAGCTAGCATAGGTGCAATTATGTTTTAATTCACATACATATGACACACTCTCAGTTGTTCCTAATTTTTCTGCAGTTCATAGATAAATAAAACTGAATTATCAAGAATCTTTCTACTTTTAATGTTGGTCAAAGGCATCTTTCTCTAGACCCTTAAAATTTTTCGATACTGTTAGTGTCAAGTAGAAAATTAAGGAAACTGCCTTAAAACTCAGGTCTAAATTTGGAGGTGGAGGATTTATTTCACAAGAAGAAAAGGTGTTTTTTACTTTAATTTTTCAGCCTATTTATTCCTTTTGATCAAATTAACTGAATTCAGCCTGCCAATGGCTACTTAGACACAAATAAGAGAAGTGAGATATCAGTGATTAAAATTTTATTTTCCTTTATTTAACTAGTTAAACTACAAGTAAATTTTTCCCCCAAATTGTACTATCATTTTAATGCTCACAGAAGCCTTCAACTTACAAGAAGAACAGTTCTCTAAACAGGGGTTTGGCTTTAGTGCCTCTTTACCTGTCTCTTCATCCTTTCAGTCGCTGTATTCGCCAACACAAGTCTCTTCCAACCTTTGAAAGCACACAGCCAGGCTTAATTTTGAGGATGCTTTCTTCACGTGCATTTAGCTGTTCTCCATCTTCACCAGAACATGCTCAAAGCTGCCATCCCTGACACACAACTGACATCTATGAGCACATCTTGATTGTGGACAACTCTGTCCATTGTCACTGACACTCCTCACTGTGGTCAGTCTCCCCTTTGCAAAACGGGCTAGGGTGGAATTGGGACTTGCAGCCATCCTTAGGAGCAGGAACCAAGGGAGAGAGGTGGGAAAACATCAACTCTCCTACAGCAGCTGCTAGTTTTCTCCAGTAGTGCCTTCCCTTCACTATTAGGCTCTGTCCTGCCTCCTGTCACTTGAGATGATGCCAAATCCTGTAATAATTAGAAGCATTCTGTTAGCAAAAATGTTCCTGATAGCCCCAGCCACCTAAGCCTGGGAGGGAAGCTCCAGTCCCAGCCCTTGGAGCCACTCCTGGTATCAGTCGTCTCCGCTCAATTCTTATCATGTTTCATTTCCCAGAGACATCTGGCCTTGTGACCACACACACCTTTCAGAAGCTCTCCTCCTTTCCCTTGGCTTAGCAGCACCCCTCCTGGTCCCTCCAGCAGCATGTTATATACTGCTTCCCAGACATATTTGTTAGTTCATTTGCCTCTTCTCAGCCCTTAAGTGTTCCTGTTCCCAGGTGTCTATAATGAAGACATTCTATCTTTTCATTCAGAATGCTCTCACCAAGTGATCACATCAATGTCCAAGACTTCAATTGCAACTGAAATGTTCATGGCTTTTAAATGGCTCTCCTAAGCTCTGACACGTGTATGTAACTGCCTACTAGACTTAAATTCTCTGGCTTTTAGATATATGTGCTGCTGAAGCGATCACAATTCTTGGGCTTTTGTTTCCTGACCCGTACACCTTCCTACCATTTATACCATTGCAGACTTCAAATAAGCAAATTCTGCATTATATAATTGTAAAAATTAAAAGGGTTAGGCTCAGTGGCTCATGCCTGTAATCCCAGCACTTTGGAAGGGTGAGGCAGGATGGTCATTGGAGGCCAGGAGTTCAAGACCATTTTGGGCAATACAGAGAAACCCCCTCTCTACAGAAAATTTTAAAATTGGCCAGGTGCGGTGGTGCATGCCTGTAGTCCTAGCTACTCAGGAGGCTGAAGTGGGAGGATCATTTGACCACAAGAATTTGAACTTACTGTGAGCTATGATCATGCCACTGCACTACAGCCTGGATGACAGAGCAAGACCCCGTCTTTAAAAGAAAATTAAAATACATTAAAAATGATTTATACATTTATTAAAAATTGCTTATTATTCAAACCACTCTGTTTTCTGTAGTGCTGGTTTGTAACATAGATTTATAAATATCCTAAGGAAAAGAAAAATTGTAGCTTATGTAGACGCTGCAGAATTATTTCTCTTAAAATAATTATATACAGTGCAAAAGATTTCTGCCGTTGCAACATTTCACCTAACAAAAGATTTCATCCAAACTGGATAAACACAAATGTCTTTTTAGAAAAGAAACTGATCAAAATCTTAATAGTGGCCTATGGTGATTTCATACGTTGAGGTTATCTAATTAGAATAGACAGTATTCTGGAAAATACCTAGAATCTTGAGAATTTATGCAAATCATAAAAATTCACATCTGTATGGCAAATAATATATATATATATCACATACATTTACATTAATTTATATAATCTATATAATAATCCTCTGAAGGCTGGGCGAGGTGGCTCACCCCTGTAATCCTAGCACTCTTGGGAGGCTGATATGAGAGGATTGTAGTTCGAGACCAGCCTGAGCAAGAGTGAGACCCCTGTCTCTACTAAAATAAAAAAAAAATAAAAAAAATAAAAAACAGGCACAGTAGTGCCCACCTGTAGTCCCAGCTACCCCAAAGGCTGAACCAGGAGGATTGCTTGACCCCAGGAGTTAGAGGTCACAGTGAGCTATGATGACACCACTGCACTCTTCCCTGGGTGACAGAACAAGACTGTGTCTCAAAATAACAACAACAATAATAATAATAATCCTATGAAGTAATGAGAAAAAAATGTTATCCTCAGTTTACTGATTTTTTTTTTAAAATACAGCTTGAAGAAGTTAAACTACTTTTCTAAATTCACACAACTTGTAAGTAAGGGAGGTAATTAAAGTACCCTGTCTGAGTATAATAACCCTTTGCCCAGTTCGCCTAGAATGTATTGTCTTCATGCTAAGAATGTAGCTGAATTCTTATATGAATATGTAATGAATATATTTTGGATGAAAGAAATGTACATTTTCTAATTTAGATATTTCTGTATTTCATTGTTCAAAATTCATTTAAAAAGTCTCACTGTTGGTGTGGACAAAATTAGCAACTAATTCCATCCTCTAAATATTTGCAGTGATCTTCAACTGATGGCATGAAATCACAGCAAGGGGCCAAGTCCCAAGGCTCTGGAGTACACTGCCATTTTTAGCACTGTTCAGATTGCAATAATGATAGCAAATAATATCCAGCTCACCTATAGTTAAATTACTACAAATTGATCTTACCAAGCAGTTAGTGGGCAGGATTTCACTTTTACCATTTTTTACTAGTAATAATTTAGCATTTAAGGATTTTAGTAATTTAAATCCACTTAGTTGTACTTAATCAATAATTTGTATATTTAATTTAAAATATTTTTTTTGGAGAAGGAAGAGGACAAGTAAAGTTCTCCATAAATAAGGCATTCAGAATGAGACTTTAGTTAAACTAAATTTTTACTGTAACCCAGAACTGGACTGTGTAAAATGCCCTACCTTATTTTAAACTCATTATTTTTATAACGCCTTTGTCAAGATAGCAGAAACACAGCTTTATCTATTAAACAATGAATGTGTTTATTTTTCTTTTAAACATAATAAATTCATAAGAGATCTGAGAAATGTAAAATTATATTGAGGTAAAATTTAATTTGAATGAAAATTAATTTTACATCTATGTAATTTTCCACTATGTATGCAGTTTACCTAAAGTAGGACTTAACCAAGCATTTCTGGGTTGTGTGGCCAATAGCCTTGCTCTTAAATCACAAAGATGTTTGTATCTGCGCCACTTTTTAAATCCCTGGGATGTTTTAAACTTTGATATCAGATAATCTAGGACTCTGAAACAGTTCCTTTTTCTGGAACACATTGGTCTGTCATATATCTGTTCTGAAATCATCAGTTGGTTATGATAATCCTAATATGCTGCCTAACTAGTGACATGAGATAAGCATATGGACTACTTATTATTCTGCTAAAACATACCAATGAGGAACAAAATAGTTTTTACATTAAAAAAAAAGTAGTGTCCTGCATGTGCTATGCAGCACTACTTAATCATAAGGAACTACTAATCTCACTCTTTTTTGGACTCCAACATTTACCATAAGAGTGCTTCACAGCATCTATATAATTTTTTCTTCTTTTTGTCCCTTCTTTGTAGTTGTTTGAAATTACAGTGCCTCTCTCTCAAGGCCCCAAACCAGTAACAATCAGTTTTGCCAATCACACTTCCTGCCGATGCATGTCTAAACTGGATGTTTACAGACAAGTTCATTCAATTATTAGACGTTCCCTGCCAGCAACACTACCACAGTGAGTATGAATTAAATCTATTTTTTTCTGCATCCTCTACTAATATAAAATTATTTTCAAGTAAACACAAGGTTACTAAAGGAAGTTTTGTGAAAATTGCTATAATATACTTTGTATCAAATACAAAACAAAGACAAAAATTTTTATAGTGTACCATGAAAATAAAATTAAACTGAGACAGGGAAACCCATTTTATGGGGAAAGTAGTTCACAATATAAAAGAAGTATATCTATGGAATAACACATTTCCCACTAATGTTCAGACAATATCAGTCTGGCAGCCTAATTGTTTAACATGTATGGAACCAGGTGTGCTAATTCATAAATGATGTCAAAGCTCAAAACATTTAAACCTTGATAAAATTTTAGTCCAAAACAAAAAGTAAATATAAATAACTAATTTTATATCTATTAGCATTCACTTGCCTTTTTAAAAATCTCATATTAAAAATAGATATATATCCATATTTCTTATTTCAGCAAGTATCAAATATTGAAATAATGCTTAATTACTTGAAAGAATTTTCTCTTAATATTATTTAAAATTAATATTCAAACTATCATTTCTTATTCAAGTTTCCTTCCCATCGTATTTTTCAGTTTGGCAAATGGCAGCATATACTTCATTTGATCATATAGAAGAACCTATATATAGCATCATGTCCTGACCCTGAGAATAGTTTATAATGAATCAATATGCTTTTCCATCTGAGACCTAGGAACTTTCTAGCCAAAAATAGGGAGGCAAATCTTTATTGTTTAGGATATCCAGTGAATATGGATAAAACTTACATAATTTCAATGTTTGCAACAAAAGTATCAGTAAGTTGATGGACAAACATATTTATTACCAAAAATGTAAAGAAAACCTCACATTCTAGGAGACTCAATGATAAATTTAATATGCCATTCAATAATAGTGGTCTTCCCCATTGAATCTCTTTGTAATGCTCTACTTAGTGTGGCAGATAGGAGGCCTTGTCTGTCCAGGGATACTTGAGTCAAAACTCCAGGACAGCCTAATTTGAATGACAGAGATCTTGTCCCCCTTGAAGTGAGAAAGAAAAGATCTTACAGATGTCTGTGAATAAATTTGGGTTGATACGAGTAGAGACCACTGCCACCTAACTACAGAGGATGCCATATGTGCGATTTCATTCCTGCAGTCCTGGGAATCCTGGTCACCTTTCTCAGCCCTGTCTCTGTTGGCAGTTCATCCATTCTGAGAGCTTCAGCCAGTATCTCCAGGCTCATGGTTTCCAGAATTACATTTGAAGATCTGACTGTTTTCTTGACTTCTAATACTTTGAGGCCTTGAAATCACACAGTTGTCCTTAATGATTTCTTCTTATGTCCCATCCAAACATGACTGATCATTTTGGGGGAAGGAGAGATGTCTGTTCCAACCTCAACTTAAATCTCCATCACTGCCATCTTCATCCCTTTCATCTGCATATATGCCTGATACAATGCAGTTACGTTAATACTGATTTTAAAGCATCAAATCTTTCCCCCACTTTTGTGTAATGTCACAAGTAAGCTTTCAAAGGCATCATTTCATTTATCTGACCAGAAACAGTGACTTTCAACTGCCCAAAGAATTGAGTGCAGATTTCTCACCACCCTGTCCTGGCATCCTCCTTCCTTTCTCGTTTGTCTCCCACCATTCACCAAGGCTGTGTGTCACAAAGTCTCATGCCCTGAACACCAGGCTCATTTCCTGCTCTGTATCTTGTTTCTATTCTTGCCCTGGCTTGAAATAAGTTTCCTTTCTTTTCTTGCCTTTCCAAAGCCCTATCCATTTCTCAGAGTTCAGAGAAAGGTCTTTCTCCTTGCATTTGTCTCCCGTCCAAATACCACGGCCACCTTTGCTTCTTGAATGCCCGTAGCAGTCACTGGATTTACTTAGTCCACGCATGGCTTTGTCGGGGTCTGTGAAACTGGACTGCGAGAGTGCTTCAGGCAGGTTTATGTCTTCCATAAAATCCAGCTAATAACACTCAAAAATAATTGAGCTGTTACTGTGCTCTCATCCCAGTTACATACATAGTCTCATTTAGCCCTCACAAAAGTCATCCATGAGGTCAGCACTGGCATCGACCTTATTTCACAGGTGCCACAAACAGTCACACTCCAGCGCTGGGGGCCAGACAGTGTCGTGAACACTTGTTAAATAAAGTACCTTCTTTGTCTGGACGTATTTCATAACATTGATGTGTTTTACTTACATTTTCATCATTATTTATTCATATAACTACTATCCTATACGTGTTTGAGGTCAAGAAACAAAAAGTTGTATGTAGTGAAAAAAAAACTTGGGCTTTAGGGTAAAGCAGATCTGAATCTGAATTCAGGTCAGCCACTAATTAGCTTTTTTATGATTGTGTAGGTATTTTATGTCTCCGACCTTCAGTTTGCTCACATATAAACTGTAAAGGCGCAAAGAGGACCTAACGAGGTACTGGATGTTTACACAGTGCTCAGCCAAGAATCTGGCATCAAAGAGGCCGTCATGAAAGGGCAGATTTATTATCGTTAAGATCCATGTCTGATTCATCTCCTTGTCCCTGTGTTTTCCAGTGTTTTCTTTTATTACCACTATTTTCAAGAAGAAATACATTTTATATTCCAAACCTGTATGTGTATCCAATATGTATATATACACACAGAGTATATTATATATAGTGTGTATATATAATATGTAATTTTAAATTAGATTACTATATAACTTTACATGTAGTTAGTCATATATAAGTATAAAACAAAAACAAAGTACCATTTGAAAATATTTTCTACTATTATAGTGCTGCTCAACCTTTTTCATTATCACACCCCTGAGGACCCCATGAGATTTTAATACCACAAATATACTATATATCTCTTTATACCGTATGCACATCTGTGCTTTATACATAAAAAGGAAGATTACTTTTTTTTTACGTTTTTTTTTAAGATTACTTTTTTATACAATGTTGGGTTAAAATGACAAAATAAAATTTTAAGTTAAAAGTTAAATTACGCATTTTAAATCTATTAACAATGAACATAATTCATACCTGTATTTGTTGAGAAACTTTAAAGGTAATTTATTTACTTGTACAAATTGTAATATGTCAAATTACATATGCAAAGGAGCAATTGATATGAACATGTAATAATACAAATATAATTTTTAAATATTCAAAAGTATTTTTTCCAGAAAAAATAAAATAATTTTAAAAATGATAATTTCTTTAACAACTTTTAGAAAACTTAACTTTTAACTGCACACGCAGGTACCTACCTCTCACTATATTACTTTGAGATCACACAGTCAAGAGAAAGTCCTCCAAATACAATTCACCATAATACTGTTCACCATAATTTTGTAGCTTTTATCTTACATCTACTTGGGCTATGTTTCAATGCCAGTGCTAGTCATAAAACAGCCAATAAACCCTAAACCCAATAGAATTTAAGTACTAAAGAATAAGATTTTCTTGGGTTTTGGAGGACCCAAACCCATTGTAATATCAACATTTCAACCCCCCACCACTCCTGTAGGATGATGTTACTTCCATTATGAATGTGTGCCTGATTGATTACATGTGATGCACTCAATTTTTTTTTCTATTGTTTCTCTTTCTGAAAATGTTTGACTCAACCTATGGTGAATTACGACCCACAATTTAATAAAAAACTACTATAATGATAGTGTATATATGATGAATATGTGTAATTAACAGCTATGTTATAAAATTCTAACCTTTGATAAGAGGAACGAGGCTGGGTGTGGTGGTTCCCACTTTTAATCCTAGCTCTCTGGGAAGCAGAGGTGGGAGGATTGCTTGAGTTCAGGAGTTCAAGACTAGCTTGAGCAAGAGTGAGACCCCATCTCTACTAAAAAATAGAAAAATTAGCTGGCTATGTTGGCACACACCTGTAGTCCCAGCTACTCAGGAAGCTAAAGCAGGAGGATTGCTTGAGCCCAGGAGTTTGAGGTTGCAGTGAGCAATGATGACAACACTGCATCTACCCAGGTTGACAAAGTGAGAATGTCCCAAAAAAAAAAAAAAAAAAAAAGAGTTAAGAGGAACGGGCCACCACATGGCTAAAATTAAAAAGACTGACAGGAGCCAATGTTGGAGAGAATGTGGTGCAACTGGAACTCGCATATATTCTTTGATGGGAATGTAAAATAGTAGTTCAACCATTTCGCACAAAAGTTTGGCAGATTCTTATAAATTTAACACATATACTTGCAATATGACACATAAAGTATTACCCAAGTAATGTAAAAACATTTTCTACATAATTTGTACACAAATATTCTTTATTAGCCAATAACTGGAAACAGCCCAACTGTCCATGAAAGGTGAGTGGATAAGCAAAGTGCAGTACATCCGTGCTGAGCAATATAGGAAGAATGAACTGTTGGTACATACAACATGAGTGGACCTCAGGAACGTCAAGCTTAGAGAAATAAAAGAGCCTAAAAAGAATACATATTATATGATTTGATTTACATGAAACCCTAAAGAAAGCAAATATAATCTAGACTGAGAGAAAGCAATTCAATCATTGCTTGAGGATGTGGATGGTAGGAATTGACCAGGAAGGGGCAGAGGGAATATTTAGAGGTGATGGAAATGTTCTATATTTTGATTGTGATGGTAGTTATGTGGATGCGTAAATTCATGAAAAAACAATGAATCTAAAATAGGAACATTTAATTGTATACAAATTATTCCTCAATTAAATTGATTTTGAGAAGCCAATAGAAAAAGAGCCCTTTAATTAACTATAATTTTGAAATGAGTTTGGGTTAAAAAGGTAGATTTCTTAAAATCTGTATGGTGAGACTTTAAGCCAGATCTTCAAGATTCTTGTGACTTGTTGGGGAAAGAGGGCTCCCCAGACTCCTTTGCACAGAGTGAAATCGCGTTCAGAGGCAGCAGGGTGACAGTTCTGCTCCATCCTCTGCTCTTACCACCATTGTCAGCAGGAAGACGGGACATGCC